AGGTGGAAAGAGGAGCGATCAGGCTGGAGAATCCAGGAACTGCTTGTGATCAAACTAATGATGATGATGGAGGAACTCTGGCAAACAGTGGAAAACAATCAAAGGCATCATGAGGAGAGAGAATCCAGAAAACAAGAGCAAGGTCCTCACAAGGAGGATCCATGGCGTCACAAGGAAACACCTGAGAGAAGATAGACAACAAGAGTCCGTTACTAAAGCATCTCTCTGGGGGCTCAGAGAACCATCACTGGCAAACACTCAGGCAATGGCCGTCTGCTTCCTCTTAAGCTCCAGGATGATTAGGAGATGATGATGGCAGGAAGAGGAAAAACCCGATGACCTGAGGTCCGATTAGGATCTAAGATAGAACTGAATCCAGCACCACCAGATCCACATTTATATCAAAACTTAGGGGCGGCGTGTTTTCCTGCATGGAAAACGGTTGGTTTAGTAATGAAGGATGTCAGCCTGGATCAGGTGGGGGAGGTCTTCTAGTGTGAAGGTGGTTCTTTATACATCCCATAATACCCCAGAGGAGCGCAGACATTGGAGGGTTCAGCTTTGGGAATCTGTCTGTGAAAAAAGGATATTTTAAAGTCATTCCAAACAAATTTAAAAACAGTCCACTGGACTTTATTTCCAACTCTTCCCATCCAGGAAGAGTTTTCAATTAAAAATGTCTGGAATAAGTTTTATACTTTATAGAGTGGACCAAAAACAAAGCCTTATTTTAGCTTAGAATTTTAAAGTAATGTTGTATAGACCTGCCAGACGAGATGCCACACGCCTGAGAGGAACCAGCATGGCGCTCTACAAACACCCAGACTATGGGTGCCTTCCATTTCAGAGGCTGCATCCTCCAACGACACCGTCTACCTGGACTGGATCCTTGAAGGTCTTTAAAAATAAGGAGGCTGGAAGAGTTTGGCTATGGATGCTTTCACCGCTGTTATGCTCTGTCGCCTAGCAACCGTGACAGTTAACACACAAAGCAGCAAAGAATGGATGCTAAACTTCTCACTGCTGTTCTGGATGCTAAGAACATTTCAGAGGAGCTTCAGCAGCAGTACGGTCATCTCAGATATCAGATTTATAGTCCCCACCCTGCAGAGATGTTAGAATCTGAGCTTAAATTACAGCCAAATCCAGTAACAGATAAAACCTTTTAATAAACCAAACCTTACCGCCACTATCTGACTCAATAACCATTAAAACATCTATTTTCATTCATTTTAGATGGAAATATTAACAGACTGGATTATATTAGACAACACTTAGAATTGATTGTAATTTTGTATGCACAAAGTGTGTATATGTTTAGTAAAGTGCAAAAAAATAATGGTGCAAAATGCAGTGGAACATTGAGTTGTGTCCAATTTCAAAGGATTATTATAGTTTAGTACTTTGGTAGGGCAAAATAATATTCATAAAATGAATAAAATATTATTAAACTGCACTTCCAGTGTACACCACTGTTTGGCGTCATTTACATTTTTCCTCTGAGCATCGAGCAGCCGGCTTGCTTGGACTCACAATGAATCATGGGATACCCAAGGCTACGGAGGATACAGCGGACCTGTCCTTCAAAACGGGCAAAAAGGAAGCATTTGTCGGCCGAATCAGGAGGAGTCTTCCAATCTGAACAGGCCTCGGCGCTGTAGTAAATTAATCTGCACCAATGATTAGAATATATTGGATACATGTTTTACATATTGAATAAATGTTTTACACTAAATACATTTATTTTATAAAGGTCACAGAGTCCAAAAGAGTGTGCTCCACCAAATATGGAGAGATAGAGAGCAGTGTGTGTGTAAGGCTCTCTGCAGGTGCAGCTTTGAGTGCAGCCTTGAAGTTTGAGAGATAAGACCAGGGTGGGAAAACACAGAGAATAAGCGGGGAACAGAAACATTGAAAGGAGTCCAAGGCCATTTTGGAGGTGGGTCTTCCACCAAGATGAAAGAGCCCCAAGCCCCAGGAGTGAATAAAAAAGAGCCTGTTTGTGCATGTAAGTCAGTTGCTCACCGGTGAACAGCTCATGTGGTTGTTTTTGTGTTTTGCAATAAACCACATTGGACCCAGTTGCCTCTGCCTGATTTTTGATCATTGTCTGAAGACTTTTCTACTGCTTTTTAAGAACTTTGAATTTTTATAAGACTTAGCATCAATTTTAAGTCGTTTACACACACAGTCACTGCATTTAAAATCAGCAGCTGTCCTCAGATCACTGATTGGTGAATCGAGCAGAAACTGGATCTGAGTCTTCCTCCTTAGTTAGTGGGAAGGTTTCCTCTTCCTAAGCGAGATGGAGAGAAACCAGGAGATCCTTCTCCTCTGGATCAGTTTAACTGAATGTTGCAGCTGCCAGTTCCTGTAAAATAATAGAAAGTAAAGTCAGGAGACTCCAAAGAACTTTAAGCCGCAGTCACTGATTGATGGTGGGAGGTGTAGAGATAGTAAATTAGATAGGAGACGATCAGCAGCTGCTATGTCCTCCAGGCCTTTGAAAGTGTCTCTTAGTTTGTTCTTCTTGCTCTTTAACAGGAGGATGAAGATGATGTTGATGTTTGGGATCCTCCTGCAGGGTAAGATCATCTTCCTCATCTCAGCCAGATTCTGGGTTGGATCTGGTTCCCAGACCAGGGTCCATATTCAGCCAGTGGCTCCCAGTGACCTTGTTTTAGGATAAATCTCAGAATTTTTCAAGTGTTTAAATTTTTCTAAGAATTTAAGGAAAGTATGAAGATAAAAACACAGCTTATATACAACAGAGAGTAGGACACGAGGCTGGGACTCGTACTCGAGTAAATCGCATATTTAATGACTTCAGACTCAAGGTGGACCTGAGATTTCAGACTTGTGAACAATCTTTTATTTGTCTCGCCGCTCTGCTTCTTTTCTTTACCTGCACACAGCAGAAAAACATCAGGGGGGCTGTCAGGCAGTCACGTCGCACTGACATAACGCTACGTGACTCATGCACACATCTGCAACACATACGGATATGGAGGCGACATTGAGCAACCCTGTTTCCCACCGTTCATAATAACTTGAATACAAACAAATTCACACAATGAAGGAATAAAAGAGCAAAAAACTGCAGCTTCTTTAAAAAAAGAAAACCACCAAATCTAATTTTATCCCCCACCTGAAATCCCACCAGGAAAGGTCACTGTGTATTAGGCTAGCATCCAAAGGCATGTTGTGAATTGGTGCTATAGAAATAAACTGAATGGAATAGAAGGCAGACGTAGATGAGGGCATCAGTATTTTCTATATTACCGTTTATCTTCAGCTCCTCTACTCTCCTCCACCAGCTGTTCCAACAGAAGAAGCTGCTTCTCTGTCCAGTTAATCCCTTCCTTCCTTTTTCCCTCCATTTTATTGTCATTTTACCAAATCAACTGTTTTGTTTATTCAATGTAATCAGAGACGGTTCTGCTTGTTAGATCAGAAACAACTGGCCCAGTGTGTTGACATCCGTACGATGCGTTCAATGCTATAACGTAATTTAGCTGGTCAACCAAGCTCTGGTGTTCCCACCACATGCCGATCAGAGCCGAGGCGATTTTAACGCATTCGATTGCCAAGTCGTTTGACCTGGGTGACACGTGTCAGTCAGCTGTTCCCGCTGCCACTAAAAGCCCGTTTTTCCCGGGTTTAAACTGGTTTTTCAGCCAGTGGGGAAGGGGTAATAGTAGCATGCAGGTGCTGAATAGTTTGCCAGAATCATTTTTCATTCATCTAGTGGTCTTTCTCCACGTGTCCATGAGTTTTTGCAGTGCAGCGCTCTGCCAGCGGCGCCACTGGCTCCAAACCCCCTACTAGCCGTCTCAGGAGCCCCATTAGCCACCAGACTCAGTAGGACTTTCTCTGTCTTCATGGCTCTTTCTGCCATGACCACTTTTCTTAATGCACCCAGATTCATGAACTGGTTCCAAGTTAAAACAGTTTGTGAATAATAATTTAAAAACACAGAAAACATATTTATTTTAAATATTTGGAAGATGATTGGAAAATGAGCAGGTTTGATGGAGAGCAGATTGTTAAAGAAGTTATTTTTTTCCTTTAATAAAGAGCTCCCCACATTTAAGTGATGTTAGAAAACTCCTATAATATTTATAGGCATACAATTTAATTCTATTCAGTTTATTTCTATAGCTCCAATTCACATCATGTCATCTCAGGTCACTTTCCAGTTCACCAGATCATCCAGTCA